TGTAATTTGAGTTTTTACTTCATATGAAACTTTAGACTTCACAAACATCTAATTTGAACCAGAGCTGCATTCAACATACCACATAACATACAAAAATCGATGTTTATCTGTATTTTTTTAAATATTTACTTTTAAATTAACAAACTGAGTAATGTATCATTCTAAAATTTGAATTATAATCTACAGGTTGATACCAAACTTATTGACATAAATTAATGAAATAGTAGTTCAATAAAATTTTGAATGCAAGTCAACAAATGCGATGACATGGCCTTTCACACGTGACCCGTTTGGAAGGGTTAATCAAAGCTTTACTGTCTTCATCAGTGCTTTCTGAGATAGATACCTGATAACAAAACTTGCATATAGATTAAAGTGTATACTAGGAAAACTAGTCTATACATTCCAACTGGAAATTACAATTATCAATGCAACTAATTTCTTGCAGTAATTTCAAATGTAACGCAATCATTATGTTTTTCAGAACATAAAAAAAACAGCATCAAAACAATTCACACAGTCTATTTGAAGTTGCAATTAGAAAAAACCTTTCATGATGAAACCTGTAAGCTTGTAAAACAGCAATACTAATCACAATTTACCTTGGCTGTTTTTTCATCTTGATCATAAGGCTTCTCAGCTGGCTGTTGCTTTTTAAGTTGTTCCTTTAAAGATTGAATTTGCTTTTGTAGCTTTAAAACTTCTGAAGTTTTTGCTAGTACTTCAGATTTAGCTGTATGCTGAAAATGAACATATATTTCATAAGATTCTTAATAAAGGGAAAAACAAGATATAAGTAGCAAATGCACTACTCAGAAAAATGAAATGTACTGTTAAAAACATTTCAAATTCAAGTTCAAATGGGTATTTAAAACTTTCAGTATACTCTTTTAAATCTACAGAAATTTAGTTAAACCCATAAATTTTCATGCATTTTTAAACTCTGAACATTTAAAATAATGCTTACCATTCTGCTAAGGAAAAAACAATTATGGGATCAATATCTCAGCCCAACATCTGCATTCTTTTTCCATTCTAGTAATCTTAATATTTTTTTAAAGATTTTATCATGTGTAGCTGCATTTATTTGTCATCCAATCATTTCTAAAATTTCTTCAATGGTGTAAAAAATAAAAGTACTTTAAAGACCACAAGTAAAAAACTTAAATATACAGATTTATTTTCTCCTACTATAGAGCCCATTTTCCTCTTTATTAATAATTATATCAAACTCTAAGGGTACACAATGTCACTGTTATAAACAGTGTTGAAACATGTGTAAGGGATTATATTCATGGCCTTTTACACTCATTTCAAGTTTCTTATTTGTTTCTACCATATACTAAACTGTACAAGCAACCAAACTGGAAATAATATTCAGAAAAATATTTTAGAAAGTTTTATTTTTATTTTTTAGTTTAAATCTTACCTTGTATTACAGATTACTTAAAATTTATAAAGCAAACACATTAGGATACCTGCTGTATTTTTTGTGATTCATGAGGTCTTTTTTTGGAATTTTGATGTAAAGTTAAACAAAGGTCTTTTTGTGCATAAAAATCCCTAATTTGGAACTGGCAGACTAGAGGGAAGTGGTCAACAGCAACCATGACCAACTCATGTTTGAATGTGATTCTACTCTTTTCTGCAAACTTTAATTCAAGGCTCATGTCTAAAAGCAAGACACTTCACTGGCAGTTTTAAAAGATGATGATTAAAATTTGGCAGAAAATCAAACCACTCTGAAAAACAAAAGCCTGAAAATGGATTTCTTGACTGGAAGTTTTATGGAATTAAAATTTAATTTTATCTTATAAGCATCATATTTTAAAAGAAAATGTACTGAAACCAGCATATTTTATTAATGTTAATGTTGATACTTGAAGATAATCTTATCAGTAGTTTATTCTCCAAATGGTTGTATGAATTTGAAATCATGAAAAAACAACAACAAAGAAATCCTTGCACTGTAACAAATATGATCAGATTAAGTTTCATCATATGAATAATCCAGCATTACTCCAACTGTATTACAATCCTTTAGATAATATTAAATTCTGATCCAATATTATGTCCAGCTGAGAACATTTTCTGACTTTTGGTGTAGAAAATGCCTTGTGCATATGTGTGTGTGTGTGTGTGTATACACTTAAAAAAAACACACCAAATAAATGATGAGTTCAAGGATAAAAGAGCGTGCACTAAATACACCAGCTACTCTCTGACATTGTTTACAAGACTGTGATTTTCTTTCTATTGCCCAAGTATTCTAGGGAATTTATCAAATACAAAAATTCTATGACCCAAAGAAACATTGTGGATTCAGAAGTAACATCCAGAACTTAATAAAAAATAACATTTAAAGTTGAGTATTCATTGCTGCCCATAAATCTTAGCTGTTAGAAGTATAAAATATTTAACTTGTTTTAGAAGTATGTGCTTATGTCACCCTTAATAATGTTGATTAACTTCTGTAAAAAATAAAGCTGAACATACTAATTTAGCCTAAAATAAATTAAAGAAGATATGCTTTAATAAAGATGGTTTTGTAGTAGGAGTTAACAATATACATACAGATTATATATACAACACAGTTAGAATGACAAATAATTAGAGCTTAAATGAAGATTAACAAATATAATAATAATAATACACTGCAAAAAGAGATTTAAAATTTTTAGAATAAATAGATGTTAACTCTCTCGCTACAGGCTCGGTCGAACTGGCCAAGTTTGTGACCCAAAATTGACATACTAGTTCCACGCTATAACTTTTAATACGTTTTGTGAATTTTTACGAGAGTTCGCAAGCTTTTAGTAATCATTAAGAGTCAATTCTAGACAAAAAATCAGAATTTTTAATGATGTATTTTCATTAAAGATTAAAAATACTTTTCTTCATCTCAAAATTCTCAACTTTCTTTTGTGTAATTTCTAAAACTTCCTAAATAAATTTTAAATTTTTTTCAGTAAAACTTTATATTTTATCTGTTATTTTCTTTATACAAGGTTCATAAATTTGACCAAACTCATAACCAAAAAAAAATTTGAAAAAAATCTAAATTACCCTTTTATCGTTCAAATTGTAACATGAAACTACGTTTGTTTATCCCATATTGCTTTAAACTCGTGACAGTATGCATCTGTTTATACTTAAATTTTATTGTGTTATTGCCCTTTGAACCATGTCTAACTAAAATTCATGTCATGTAAGTTGTATATCACTTGGTAAATGTGTAGCTTATGTTACACCATCAAATTACATAATGCATGACCTACTCATGAGCTGCTGGTAAGCGTACTTGTAAAATTATTATTATTCTTTATTTTACCTAATCTAATTTAAAAAGTTGCCAATTTTACATTTTAGCTACTCTTATAATAATAAATAAAGAATACACACAAAAAAAACAAGAAATTAAGTATTTACCTGGGTCTTTTTCTTTCCTGTTGACTGTCGATGAGATTTAACCCTACTTTTTTTTTTATACTAATGGTACTACTACACTTAA